TATTATAGTTATATTAAACGCGTTCGGTTTAGATATATATACCCCTTTTACTCGCCTCTTAGAGCCTCTACTAACGTCTTTAGACTACTTCTTAGCGAATTCGCTACTGTTGATAATCGAGGCCGTAAGCGAGCTTAATAGCTATTTACTATTGCTTATAAACGTATTAAAAGACTCTTAAAAAGAGCCCGAACGGATACGTTCTCTTCTATATACTTCTCTTAAGTCAGCGATAGATAGATTAAACTAATATTCAAATATTATAGTTATATTAAACGCGTCCGGGATCGAATAATAATCCTTCCACCTATTTATGTAATTATTCTTCTTTCATCATTCTATTAATTCTATTAATTCTATTAATTCTACCAATTCTATTAATTCTACCAATTCTACCAATATGAATACATTTATCCTCGATACCCTCGCACTTAGTTAAATAAGAGGAGGATCTATAATAGGCGAATGCGGAGAATACTGCGGAGAATATTGCGGAGATAGTTATCAGTAGCAGTGACACAATAGGTCTACTCTCCACGATCTCATATTAATCCACTCAGCCAGTGCAAGAGAAGTTAATACAGCAGGCGAATGCGGAGAATACTGCGGAGAAACCAAGCGGCAATAAGGCCCCCAGCACCAAGAACACGGCTTAGCTCTCCAAGATCCCACGTCATATGCTCTCCACGGTTCCATATCAAATTATCACTTAGTAAGCGGAGAACACCACTGCAATTTAGCCTGTTATCCCCACTACATTAAGGAGTAAGAGGAGGAATTACAACAGGCAAATGCGGAGAACACTGCGGAGAAACCAAGCGGCAACAAGGGCCCCAGCACCAAGAACACGGCTCAGCTCTCCAAGATCCCACGTCATATGCTCTCCACTGTTCCACATCAAATCATCACTCCGGAACGATGCATATTTGGACGAATTGAAACCGTCCGATGTCTACAGCTATTTCATTATTCGAAAAATTTCACTGCGGCAGGAGATATTGTGGGATTCACACCACTAATTGGCACGGTTGTCTCCATTTCTTTCCGATATTTCGATACTTCTTGCCATAAGAACATAGCCTTTCTCTTTTTTTATAGGCAATTATTACACCTTTCTAATTAGGCCTTAGCGCGCCTCTCTCCGTACATATATACCTATATACTACATAGATTAAATCAATTTCGTAGTAGTAGAAGTAGGTCAAAAACGCATAGCAAGCGATTAGAGTTCGATTCGACTTAGGACTAGAGCTAAAATTCCATTTAACTTGAAAAAATCCAACTTCATTTGACTTAGAAAAATCCAACTCCATAAATTTAATTCATAGGCCTTTACTAATATATTCTAATAAATTATTAAATTATAAAAATTTCGAATTATTTAAAATTATTAAAGCTTTAAATAATTTCGCTTATAAATTAAAACTCTTAATTTTTATAAATAATATTTACTTTATCTTTTATTTATAGCTATTATATCTTAATAATAATAACTTACTATTAGAATAAATCGAGTTTTTATTATTATTTATTAATATTAATAAAGAAGATAAAATCTATAATATTAAAGAAATAGTTTAATTTAAATTAAATAAATAAAAGAATAATTTCTTAATTAGTAAAAGGAAATATCTAATATATAAAATTAGAACTAAAGGCTTTAAGATCGAGAAAGATTTATTTTAATAATTATTTATAAATATAGTAGAATATTCGAATCTAGTAGTAGACTTTTATTATTATCACTTTAAGATCGTTAATTCTTATTTATTATTTAAAAGATTTTTAAAATAATTTTCTTTATTAGCGCTACTAATCTATAATAATTATATTAATTTATAAAAAGATCTTAATTCTATAACGAAATATTAAGTTAATATATCTAAGAATATTACTCTATATATATCTAAATATACTTTTTATAAAATCGATATCTACTATATAAATAGTCGTTATCGAAACTTTAAATTAAAGAAGAAAATAATATTACGATTTTAATAATCTTATAATCTTACTTATATTATAGCCTAATTAAACTTAGCGTATTAAGGCCTTTTAATCTTTCTATCTTATTATAAAGTCTATACTTATAATAATTCTATATAGATAGTATTCTCTTTATACTATAATATAGAGTTATTATATATATACTATTAAGTCTCTAATAAACCGCCCGAAGGTAATAAATGCGATTTCTATTATTATTATTAATACTACCACTTTATAACTACTATATAATCTATACTTAATAGTTTAAATCCATTCTATAAACTCTATTTAATTTATTCTATTATGAAATCGTTTTATATAATTCTCTTTATAATATAAAGAGATTTTATATATAGCGTATTCCCCTTTAATCTTTAATACTCTTCTATTATTATTACTAATTTCTCTATTAAAACGTCTCTTCTAAACGTTTAAACGATATATAAGATACTATCGAATAGTATTTAAATCTTATTAATTATAATTATCTCGTAATAATTTCGATAGAGTAATAATTAAAGTGAAAGGCGGTCGAGATCGAATATCTTCTCTGTCTTCTTTAATTAATTCTATTACTATTAGCTCGAGAAACTTCTAATACTCTTAACGAAACGTTTTTATTAGTTTATAGAGCTTAAAAGCATTTAAAAGACTTTTATCTAAATATTAATAAAGTAGAGATATTTAATTTTAATTATAAGCTCGCTAAAAAGAATATATAGCTATTAAAATATTAAATCGATTAATTTTCTCTATATACTTATTATAGTAGTAGAAAAGCTTAAAAACTTAAAACTTCTTCTCTTATATATTCTAATTATTCTCTTTAAAAGTAGATAGAATTATATAACTATTTATACTAGTCTTATTAGAATATTTTCTCTTTTTAAAGATAGAGTTATTAATCTCTCTTATATTATATATAGTAATTAAGATTAAAATAAGATTATTATCTTATTAGACTACTATTAACATATTATTCTAAACGAGTAAAGGCCTATAAATTAAATTCATAATCATTTTTTTAATCAGGGCTATCGAGGAGCGATCTTTAATAAGCGATATTTGAATTCCTTATGCTTCAATAATTATAAGACTAAATTTAAGAATTCTTTTTTTCTCTAAAAGCCCACATTTCGTTCTATAATTTGAAAAAAAAAATCTTAAAATTTTAATAGAAAACAAAAAAGTTATTCTAAAATTAAATAATGTATACCTGTTTTTTAATTAGGGCTGTCCGGCTGTCGAGCGATCTTTGGTGAGCGAACTTTGATAAGCGATATTTGAATTCCTTGCGCTTTAATAATTATAAGACTAAATTTAAAAATTCTTTTTTTATCTAAAAGCCCACATTTCGTTCTATAATTTAAAAAAAAAAATCTTAAAATTTTAATAGAAAATAAAAAAGTTATTCTATATGTTAATAACGTACATCTATTTTTTTAATAATTACGAACGTTTAATAATTATAGACGCTAATTTATTTATCCGCGATAACTTAGTTAATCTAATTAAAGAGCGTAGTAATTCTAAATTTATAATTAGCTATATATATAAATTTAAGATTTTTAAACTTAGCTCTATCTTATTCTTTTATATATATTAATTACTATAGCGAGAACTCCGTACGAAATATTTCTTATAAAGACTTATTTCATCTCTATAAGTAATTTTAAGAGATCTAATTAATTTAGCTTTATAATTTTATATATTATAATTCCTCTATCTTTTAAAGTTATAATTAGCTTAGATTTAATAAAATAATTATTTATAAAGAGAATAGAGTTATAAAGTAGTATATTAATAATTAATTTAAATACTATAGCTAATATATCTCTAAGATTCTTAATTTTTAATCTACTCTTAAGACTCTATATAGAAGAATATTAGATATAATTATAGTATTATAATTTTAATAATCTTATTAATCTTACTTATATTATAATTTAATTAGACTTAATATATTAAGATCTTTTAATCTTTCTATCTTATTATAAAATCTATACTTATAATAATTTTATATAAATAGTATTCTCTTTATATTATAATATAGAGTTATTATATATATTATTAAGTTTCTAATATAATACTATCTGTTACGAGCGTACCCTTGACACACCCCTCAGCCCTATGGCTAGCGGGCCTTGGCGGAGGCATCCCCTACCATATCATGCCTCCTTCCCACCTACATAGTTCGGTACCTTAGTTATCTTATTCAACATACCTACATTGATATTGCATCTGTACCGGTTCTAATACTATAACTAAGGTCAACCCACTCATTTCATTCGTATTAGCGGACGAATTCAAAGAAACGCGCTGGCAGGGGCTTTGGCAAGAAATTAAGTTGAGCCATCGTATCTCTAAGTAAGCCTATCAGACAGGTAATTCGATTTCAAAGCGAATCGGACTCGGCAAACAGTGGTCGAGAGATAAATAAGGCATTGGACCATTCGTACGGCTAGCGAATCGAAAGAAATAGCCAACACCATCTCACAAACACACATCAAGCTTCCCCGTATATAACTTCTCTACGAGATAAGGGACCCTCTGAGCGGAGCAAGTGCACTCGAAAGGCTATTATTCAAAGCACTTATAGTCTTCTTAACACCTTAAACGATCAAGAGATAAGTGTGTTAAGCCTCCGCAAAGAAATAACCTTACCTCGGGCTTTATAGTGAAATTTTTTATTCTTAACACCGAATAATTTCCAAACGCCTTAAAGAGGCTTCATTATTCTCTACTATATCTGATATCTTCAACACCCATTCTTTCGGAGTATTTAAACTCCTCTCCACTTTATTTCGAACCTTCCTTTCTTCTTTCCCATGGCAAAGTCCAACATCGAAAGAATAGATCAAATCAAGACCCTACTAGAGCAAACAAAGTTCCGACGGGTATCAGTCCTACCAGAGGATACCCCTGACGAGGCAGACTCGGCAGATACGCCTTAAGATATCGCTAGTACCCAACAACTACAACATTAGACCAAGCACCAACCCGACGAATTCATGACTATGCTGAATGAAATTCGTCAGGAGAGAGACAATTTCCGCGAGGTTACTACTCGGTATCACGCCGTCGTCATAGAAAAGGACCTAGCCATGAACGATTTGTACCAGGCCCACAGAATGACCGAGGAGGCAAACCAACTAGCCCGAGACTTCCAGAAGGACATGACCTCCCTGCAGCGGAAAGTCAATGGCCTTGAGATACAGTCAATGAAAGACTCACGGCTGTCACCGATCGAGGAGGAACGCACGCTTAGACGTTCAAAAGAGAAATCAGTTAAGGTCCCAGACCCACCTCTATTCATCGACGGTAGCGACCCTACCTAAGACGACTAGTCCTCCAGAATAGAACAGAAATTCAAGGCCAACAGCGATCATTACCTTACCGAGGACTCCAAGATAACCTACGTAGTCTCACAACTCGGCGGTAAGGCTGCACAACATACGATGCATAGAAGACTTCGAAACTCCACCAACCCGTACCAGTCTTTCACTGAGATCATGGACGAGTTGGCCGATATCTACGAGAACTCAGACCGACGTAGTAATGCATTGCGTGACATACATGCTCTACAGCAAAGGACCCGACCCTTCATCGACTTCTATTTAAACTTCATTCGACTAGCTACCGTCCTTAACCTTGACGAAACCGTTATGATAGAGTATTACCTTCCAAACAAATTGAGGAGCAACCTGAGGGAGTCATGGGACACCGTAGGGGGTTTTACCACCTTGAAGGCTGTAAAGGAATACCTTCGGAAACTGAATAACTTATACCGTGCTAGATACAAAGATATAGAGTCTACGAAGGCTACTGTCAAGTCAACTATAATACGAACCACGGCTAATGCACGCCTTATATCTGTTACTGGGGTTATAACCACTACACCCCTGAGTGTTAAGACCGATCTAAAGCCAAGGGAACCTATGTGCTATAATTGCGGTAAGAAAGGCTACTATCGAAGTATCTATATAATAACTACCCAGACCGAGGCCGGTAAAAAGGCCTTCGAGGAAGTACGACTCCACGCGATGGAAATAGACGAAGAATTCGAAATCGACAACGTCGACACCACGGGTAGCGACGGTTCTTCTTCAGATTCGGGAAACGAATAGCCTCTTCCAAAGTCACGGTAAGAGGTACTCATGAAGTGTGCCTGGTAGACACCCCCAATGACGCCCTGGCACGTCGTCCTTTCCGCACACAAGTCACGCTATCTTCACAAGGAAGGGAGTACTTACTTCAGGACTCTCTTATGGATAGTGGATGCACCGGTGCTTACACAGTCATAAATAAGTCCCTAGTCCCAGCGATATGTGAGGCCCTACATCTGGAACCACTCCCACTATCACGACCTAAACCACTAAGGGGTTACGACGGCCAGATCGCAAAACGACCAATTACACACTGTTTACTCCCTACGGTAACAGTGGAAGGCCATCGAGAAGGAACATGTCCAATGCTAATTGCACCATTGAAACACGACATGATAGTTGGAAAATCATAAATGAACAAACACGGGGTAGTCCTTGACATGTTACGGGATAAGATACTCTTTCTACCCGGTCGATGTAATCATGATGGTGATCAAATATCAATAATCGACGACCCTATCTATCACAAGGTAGTAGGGGCCAACAAGGAAGACGAGTATTGTACGGAAATCCGTGAGGCTATCGCCAAAAACAAGGACAAGTTTCGAGGAATCACTCTCAGTAAATGCTCCGTACAAGACGGGGTGCTTTACTATCAGGACCGTTTGTGGGTATCCGATAACATGTATACCGATGTTATTCGAGAGGTGTACGATTAACCGTCCTACGGATATCCCGAGGTAATACATACTTATAAGCTACTTAAAAGGGAATACTACTAGCGAGGTATAAGGACTACCATAGTTACCTACGTTTAAAATTACTATACCTATCAGAGGGCTAAGGCGCCTCGCGATCGGGAGCATGGTTTACTGCAACCCCTACCAATCCCACAGAAGCGATGACAAGACATATCGGTCGACTTCGTCACAGGCTTGCCCATATCCGACGGCTACAACGCTATTTAAATAGCGATCGATCGGCTCACCAAGGAACGTCACTACGTAGCCTATTCTGACATCGATAAAGGCACTACCGCTAAGAAGACAGTCAACTTACTACTCAAGAAAGTGTTCCGCCTACACGGCCTACCGGCCTCAATAATATCGGATCGAGGACCCCAATTCATAGCTACCATATAAAAGTCTTTTTGCGAGAGACTAGGCATTACAGCCAAGCTATCAACAGCCTTCCACCCTAAAATCGATAAACAGACTGAGCGAGCGAATCAGAATATAAAGCGTCACCTTCGGACATACTGCAACTACATGCAGGACGACTAAGCAAGGTAGCTACCTATCACCGAGTTCGCCGACAATAATACTACCTCATCGACTACTAATATCCCACCTTTCCTCGCGAATAAGGGGTTCCATCCTCGAATGACTTTCAGCCCGAACACCACCGACTACGAGACCACACGTAAGCGTCTCGATACTGCTCGGGCGGAGGATATCACGAACCACATAAAACAAGTTCTCAAGTATATCCGGAGTAACATAGACCGCGCTCAGAAGGCTATGGTTATATAAGTTAATAAGCATCGACAAAAGGTGACTTTTCAAGTAGGCGATGAGGTCTTCCTCAGCAGCAAGAACATCACCTCCGATCGCCCTTCCCGCAAACTGAACCACAAGAGACTCGGTCCATTCAAGATTACAGGCCTTGTGGGAACCTCATACCGTCTGAAACTTCCACCAAGCATGAGGATCCATAACGTCTTCCACCCCAATCTCTTAAGTCTCGCGGCAAACAACCCCTTACCAAGGCAGGTAAACCCTCCGCCGAAGCATATCACTGTCAACGGTCGGACCGAATGAGTTATTAAAGAAATACTTACCTTCAAAATAATCTATGGTCGTTTTAAGTACAAAGTTAAATAGGAAGGCCTCGATAATAACACCGTCTAATACAATGCGGACGGCGGTAAATTCGAAAATTGCCAAGACCTGGTGGACGACTACCACAAACGATATCCCGAAGAGCCTCACCTATAAAGGGTTGACTCATGGGATGACAGAGCTACCTCGGACACACCGTTTTCAGTCGAATTGAAACCGTCCGATGTCTTCACAATAGCCTCATTTTTCCAGACCCGAGAATCAATCCCTCAGGCCCTCGACTAAGTTATTATAAATAAATAAATTAACGTTTATAATTATTAAAATCTCGCTCTTTCGCGTCTCTCTAATTAAAAAATAGATATATATTATTTAATTTTAGAATAACTTTTTTATTTTCTATTAAAATTTTAAGATTTTTTTTTAAAATTATAGAATAAAATATAGGCTTTTAGATAAAAAATAAATTCTTAAATTTAGTCTTATAGTAATCAAAGCGCAAGGAATTCAAATATCGCTTATTAAAGTTCGCTTATTAAAGATCGCTTATCTATTTACTCGATAGTCTTAATTAAAAAAAAATTATAAATTTAATTTATAGATCTTTACTCGTTACTTTATAAAAATCGTATCTCTTCTTCTACTATCTTATCTTATCTATCTCTTCTATTACTTCTATTTCTATTATCGCTTTTTTCTCTTTTATCTTATTATTACTAGTCTACTGGCCGGAAAGGTATGGAATTTTTTGGACTTAGAATTTTTCAACTTTTATCTCTTTTCTTTGAAAATTTATATCTTTATATTCTATTTATAGAATCTTATAATTCTTAAAGCCCTATAACGAGGCTAGTCTGTTTTATACGAGACGATTTTAAAATACGGTAATTTATGTATAAAATACCGAGTGGGATTGAAAATATCCCTTACCTATTTTGGAATGGTATCTCGAAAATTGCCTAAATTCCATATCAAATACCATACCTTTCCGGCCACTAACTATAATAGAGTTTATAATACTTTAAAGTCTTTAAAATATCGAATACTATTTAAATATATATATTAATAGAATAAAAATAAATTATATCTAAGTTTAAGATAGAAGTATTTATTATATTAAATATATAGACGATACTTATTATAATAATAAGCTATTTAATTAAATAAATAATAGTAATAATTATTATAATAATAGTTATCTAAGTTAAATATATCGAATTAAAAAAAATCGTATTATCTAATATTTCGCGTTTTCTTATAAAACTTAATATTAATCTCTTCGAATATTTAATCTTAATCTTTCTCTACTATCTACGCTCTATATTATCTTATTATCTTTTCTCAAAGAATTAAAAGAGAGCGAGTTCTATCTTCTAATCGTAAAGATGATACCATACTCTGGCATGGTATGGGTTATTGAGATTTGCATGATCCCATACCTGGTACAGAGGTCTGCACCGAAAGTCCTGCACCCGCACTAGTGCAGCCCTAACCCTACTTTCGGAAAGCGGCCCTATAGAGGAAAAGCCTAAAAATATCTTCTTATAGCGTATAATGGGATTTAAGGTACTTCTTTTAGCCTTAATAGGGATAATAAACCCCGAAACCTAGCTAGAGCTAGGTGCGATTCCGAAGAACTCTAGACGTATTATCCAGGTAACCCTTTAGATGGGGCGTTATCCGAAGTCTGAGCGTAAGAGTCTTAGCGGGTGTAGGACTTTCGGTGTAGACCTCTGTATGGTATGGGATCTTGGCGGGATATACCACGGTATGGTATATCTGTGGTATCATACCATGGAATGGTATATGTATGGGATATCCCGTTGGGATTTCTATATTTAGAAGTATAAAGTAGCTATTCTAATCATCATTCTGGTCAACGGCTAATCGTATCTACCCCCCATGGCTGGCATACTACCATGGCTGGCACTCCCATGGCTGGCACTCCCATGGCTGGCACTCCCATGGCTGGCACTCCCATGGCTGGCACTACCATGGCTGGCACTCCCATGGCTGGCACTACCATGACTGGCACTACCATGACTATCACTCACTATTATGACTATCACTACCATAGCTACTGTCGAAATGTGGCCCCCGCGCATCCCAGCCACCGTGTTCTTCAGCCACCTGATTTTGTACTGTATTTAGGACCTGGCCCCGGAGAGGTTTTGGAGAATCAATCCGTCCGTTCTACACATCACATACCTGATATTTTAACAGCTACCACTACCATGGCTACCACTATTTATTATTCAAATAGCCTACTATCATCTGGTAGCTATGATAATACCAGTCATGGTAGTGGCAGGCATGGTAGTGGTAGTCATGGTAGTGGCAGGCATGGTAGTGGCAGGCATGGTAGTGGCAGGCATGGTAGTGGCAGGCATGGTAGTGGCAGGCATAGTAGTGGCAGGCATTGGTAGTGGTAGCTATGGTAGGGGCAGCCATGGTAGGTAGCCATGGTAGTGACAGCCATAATTAGCCAGAATGATGATTAGAATAGCTACTTATACTTCTAAATATAGAAATTCCAGTGGAGATATCCCATACATATATCATTTCATGATATAATACCACAGATATACCATACCGTGGGATATCCCGCCAAGATCCTATACCATACCAGATATGGGATCATGCAAATCTCAATAACCTATACCATATCAGAGTATGGTATGGCAGGTCAATATTCCATACCATATCATACCTTTTCGGCCAGTAGTCACTTATTAATAACGCGTTAGATTTAAAAAATAAGAAAAAGATTAATAAAATTAATAATAATTATAAAAACTTTATCCCCTTAAATAATTAATGTAATTCTTTCTTTATTAAAAGAAATAATAATATTATTATTAAAAAAATTTATATATAAGTATATAAATATCTTAAGCTATTAATAAATAGAATTTAAAAAAAAGATAGATATTTTAAATATTTAAAAATTAAATATTATTTTAATAATAATAATACTCTATATAAAAATATAGATCTATTAATAAAAGAATAGATTAATATAATTCTAAAAGCTATCGATATAAAGAAGAACGTCTTTATCGAATTATTATAAAAATTAAAAAATTAAATATTTCTAATTAAGTCGTTATTAAAGATCTAGAAACTTTATATATAAGAATTAAAGAGTTAGAAATAAGAAGAATACTTACTTTTATCTCTCTATTCGCGTATATTATTATTATTAAAATCTCTTTATAAAATAAACGCTAATTAAATTTTTATAAAAAAATTATTATATTAATAGAATAAATTAAGATTAATTATCTTTTAAATATTAAAGCTTTAATATTAAGCTTTATAAATATATCTTTTATTAAAATAAATAAGCTATTTAAAATAATATTAATATAATCTTATAGATTATAATTAATTAATAATAAATTTATTTTTATTTTTAATATTATATATATAGTCTTAATAAAATTTATTTTAAAAGATTATATAGAAAAACTTTAATACTTAATTATCTTATTAAAACGATTTAATATTATTTTAGAAATATTATAATTAGAATAATATAATTCTTATATATTCTTTAAATCTAGAATTATTATATTTAATTTAAATTATTATATATCTAACTATTTATTATATAATAAATCTATTATTATTTAGAATAATAATAAGTTTTTAAAAAAAATTAAATTATATAATAAGAATTATATTTAAAAAAAGAATATAATAAAGATCTTTATTTATATCTTTATTAAAATAATTAAAAAATTTAAGAATTAAATTATTACTATATAGTTTTAAAATTTTAAATAATTTTTTAATTTTATTAATAAGAAAGCGAATTTTATTATTAATATCGTAATTATTATAATAGAAAATTATAAAAAATTCTTTTATAAGTTAAAAAAGAAATCTTTAATTATAAAGTAATTATAAAAATAATTTTTTATAATATATTATAAATAGCTAAATATTTAAAATTCTATTAAAATTAATAAATTTTCTCTTTATCGCTTTATTAATTATAAAATATATCTTAAAAAAGAAGTTATTTTATTATTAAAAAGGATTTATAGGCTTTTTAGAGATTAGATATTAATTATAAAAAAATATATTAATAAGATATTAGAGAAAGACTATATTAGATTAAGTACTTCTTTTTATATAATATTTATTTTAATTATAAAGAAATTTAATAAGAGATTTAGATTATATATAAACTATAAAACTCTTAATATACTTATTATCTTAATTTAAAATATTTTTTTATTAATTAAAAAAACTTTTATTAAATTATACGCGATAAGAATATATAATAAATTTAATATTATAATTATTTTTAATAAAATTAAAATAAAAAAAAATTATAGAAAAAAATTAAATTTCTTATTTAGTATAATCTATTTAAATATATAATAATTTCTTTTAAATTATATAATACATCTATTACTTTTTAAATATTTATTAATAATATTTTACGCGAATATTTAAATATATTCTATACTATCTATCTAGATAATATTCTTATTTATAATAATATTAAAAATAAGTATATTTAATATATAAAAAAGATATTAAAGAAACTTCGATAAGTTAATTTTTATTTTAATATTAATAAATATAACTTTTATATTATTAAAATTAAATATCTAGAATTAATTATTATAACGAAAAAAGTAAAAATAAATATAAAGAAAATTAAGATTATTACTTAATAAAAGAAATCTAGATATATTAAAAATATATAAATATTTCTAAGATTCGCTAATTTCTATTAAAAGTTTATTACGAAGTACTTTAAAATTATTATATTTTTAATAAATCTTATTTATACTTAATAGAAGAAAGACTTTATCTATTTATAGACTTAAGAGTATTCTAAATAACTTATTTTTAAAATACTTAAAAAAGCTTTTACTACTATTTTTATACTTACTTATTTTAATTTAAATAAAAAGACTTAATTAGAAATAAATATATTTAACTTTATAATTATTACTATTTTATTATAAGAAGATAAAAATAAAATATTTAAATTTATAATATTTCTCTTTAAAATAATATCTTCTATAGAGTATATTTATAATATTTATAATAAGAAATTTATAATTATAATATAAGTTTTTAAGAAATAATATTCTAAGCTAGCTAATATCTCTATCGAAAATTTTATTAAAATTATTTTAAATTATAAGAATTTATAATACTTTATATTTTTTAAATAACTTAACTTCTACTAAATAAGATAGATGAAGTTTTTTTTTAAATTTAATTTTTTAATTATTTATTATTTAGAAAAATAAAGTATTAAATTTAATAATTTTACTCGATAAGTAAGAGATTTATTTAAAAATAAGAATAACGATTATATCTATTATTAATATTATATAATTTTTAAAGATAATAATCTTAACGAAGATATTAAGAACGTTATATATTTTATTATTATACTTTTAAATAATATAAAAAAAAAATTATCTCTTTAATTATAATATTATATAAATAAGTAAAGGCCTATAAATTAAATTTATAAAGTTGAATTTTTCTAAGTTAGATCGAATTTTAGCCCTAGCCCTAAGTTAAATCGAACTCTAATCGCTTACTATGCGTTTTTAATCTACTTTCATTACTATAAAATTAATTTAATCTATGTAGTATATAGATATATATATGCGGAGAGAGGCGCGCTAAGGCCTAATTAAAAAGATATATTGAGTGTGAAGGATTGATCCGTAATAATTGCCTATAAAAAATAGAGAAAGGCTATGTTCTTATGGCAAGAAGTATCGAAATATCGGAAAGAAATGGAGACAACGTGCTAATTAGTGGTGTGAATCCCATAATATCTCCTGCCGTAGTGAAATCTTTCGAATAATGAGATAGCTGTAGACATCGGACGGTTTCAATTCGTCCAAATATGTATCGTCCGATGTCCCTCCTGCAGAGGCCTAATTGACTGTGATCGTCGCAGTAGATCCTCCTCTTGTGACGTTATTGTAGTGATGTACCATATTAATGCAGTGGGGATGATAGGCCAAGTTGCAGTGGTGTTCTCCGCTTGCTGAGTGATGATTTGACGTGGGATCTTGGAGAGCTGAGCCGTGTTCTTGACGATGGTGGCCTTATTGCCGCTTGGTTTCTCCGCAGTGTTCTCCGCAGTATTCTCCGCATTAGCCTGTTGTAGTTCCTCCTCTTGCTCCTTCTCTTGTAGAGTATCAGACTGAGTGGCTAGCTGAGTGGCTGACTGAGTGGATGACTAAGTGACTGGCTGACGACGCTTGCTGAGTGATGATTTGACGTGGGATCTTGGAGAGCTGAGCCGTGTTCTTGACGATGGTGGCCTTGTTGCCGCTTGGTTTCTCCGTAGTGTTCTCCATAGTGTTCTCCGCAGTGTTCTCCGCATTTGCCTGTTGTAGTTCCTCCTCTTACTCCTTAATGCAGTGGGGATGATAGGCTAAGTTGCAGTGGTGTTCTCCGCTTGCTGAGTGATGATTTGATGTGGAACCGTGGAGAGTATATGACGTGGGATCTTGGAGAGCTGAGCCGTGTTCTTGGTGCTGGGGGCCTTGTTGCCGCTTGGTTTCTCCGCAGTGTTCTCCGCATTCGCCTGCTGTATTGACTTCTCTTGTACTGGCTGAGTGGATTGGTGTGAGACCGTGGAGAGTAGACCTATTATATCACTGCTGTTGATGACTGTCTCCGCAATATTCTCCGTAGTATTCTCCGCATTCGCCTGTTATAGATCCTCCTCTTATTTAACTAAGTGCGAGGGTACGTAGAATTGATAGAATGGTGGAAGAAGAATGGTTACACAAATAGGTGGAAGGATTATTATTCGATCTCGGACGCGTTTGGTGTGACTACAATATTTGAATATTAGTTTAACCTATCTATCGCTGGCTTGGGAGGAGTATGTAGGGAGAGGACGTATCCGTTCGGGCTCTTTTTAAGGGTTTTCTAACGCGTTTATGAGTAGTAGTAGATAGCTGTTAGGCTCGCTGCCTCGATTGCTAGTAATAGCGGATTCGTCGAGAGATAGTCTAAGGATGTTAATAAGGGGTTTAAAAAACGGGCGGAAGAAATACGTACCTTAGATACTTAGTAACATTTAGACGGGGGGTATCGAAGGCGAATTTATTTATAATTAGTAGGATTAATAGAATTATAGAAGAAGAATAATTATATAAATAGATGAAAGGATTATTATTCGATTTCGAACGCGTCTAATATAACTATTATAATTATTATATTTAAATATTTATTTAATTTACTAATAGTAGATTAAACTTTATTATTTTTATAGCGTTAGAAAGCGTATATTAAGCTCTATAATTTACTAAATTATAAAGAAATAGTATTTATAGAGAGCTGGTTATTTCAGAGAATAAGACTTCTATATATAGATTTTTGTAGATTTTTAATGGTTACGAACGCTAATTTTATTTACTCGCGATATCTAATTAAAAAGCGTAGATCTAATAAATTAATAATTAGCTATATATATAAATTCAAGATTTTCTAATTTAGCTCTATCTTATTCTATTATATATACTAATTTAATAAATAAGATAATATTAATAATAATAAGTCTAATAAAAAATTATTATTAAGAATCTTAATAGAGACTTTTTAAGAGAAGTCCTTAGAAGAATTAAAAGAAATCTTTATTATTAATATTTCTAAATTATTATATTAAACAAGTAAAGGCCCATGAATTAAATTCATGAAGTTAGATTTTTCTAAGTCAAATCGAATTTTAGCCCTAGCCCTAAGTCAAATCGAACTCTAATCGCTTGCTATACGTTTTTAACCTACTTTTACTACTATAAAATTAATTTAATCTATATAGTATATAGATATATATATGCGGAGAGAGGCGCGCTAAGGCCTAATTAGGAAGGTGTATAATAATTACTTATAAAAAATAGAGAAAGGTTATATTCTCATAGTAAGAAGTATCGAAATATCGAAAAGAAATAAAGATAACGTATTAATTAGTAGTGTGAATTCCATAATATCTCCTACCGCAGTGAAATTTTTCGAATAATAAAATAGCTATAGACATCGGACGGTTTCAATTCATTTAAATATGTATTATTTCGAAGTGATAATTTGATATAAAATCGTAGAGAGCATATAACGTGGGATCTTAAAGAGCTATCTTGACGATGATAGCCTTATTGCCGCTTAATTTCTCCGTAGTATTCTCTATAGTATTCTTCGTAGTGTTCTCCGCATTTATCTATTATAGTTTCTCCTTTTACTCCTTAATATAGTGAGGATAATAAACTAAGTTATAGTAGTGTTCTCCGCTTACTAAGTAATGATGTAATGTGAAATCGTAGAGAGCATATAACGTGGGATCTTGAAGAGCTAAGCGGTGTTCTTGACGATGGTGACCTTATTACCGCTTAATTTCTCCGTAGTATTCTCCGCATTTGCCTATATTATAGTTCCTTATCTTACTTCTCCTCTTATAGAGTATTAAACTAAGTGGCTAGCTGAGTGGCTGACTAAGTAAATAACTGATATAACGTGGGATCTTGGAGAGCTAAGCCGTATTCTTGATGCTAAGAGCCTTGTTGCCGCTTAATTTCTCCGCAGTGTTCTTTATAGTGTTCTCCGTAGTATTCTCCGCATTTACCTATTATAGTTCCTTCTCTTACTTCTTAATGTAGTAAGAATAATAAACTAAGTTATAGTAGTTTTCTCCGCTTACTAAGTAATAATTTAATATAAAATCGTAGAGAGTATATAATGTGGGATCTTGAAGAGCTAAGTCGTGTTCTTAATACTAAAAGCTTTATTACCGCTTAATTTCTCCGTAGTATTCTCTATAGTATTCTCCGCAGTATTCTCCGCATTTACCTATTATAATTCCTTCTCTTACTTCTTAATATAGTGGGGATAATAGACTAAATTATAGTAGTTTTCTCCGCTTACTAAGTAATAATTTGATATAAAATCGTGGAGAGTATATAATGTGGGATCTTGGAGAGCTAAGCCGTGTTCTTAATACTAAGAACCTTATTACCGCTTAATTTCTCCGTAGTATTCTCCGCATTTACCTATTATAGTTTCTTCTCTTACTTCTTCTCTTATAGAGTATTAGACTAAGTAACTAGCTAAGTAGCTAACTAAGTAAATAACTAATATAACGTGAGATCTTAAAGAGCTAAGCCGTATTCTTAATACTAGAGATCTTATTACCGCTTAATTTCTCCGTAGTATTCTCTATAGTATTCTCCGCATTTATCTATTATAGTTTCTTCTCTTACTTCTTAATATAGTAGAGATAATAGACTAAGTTATAGTAGTATTCTCCGCTTACTAAGTAATAATTTAATATAAAACGACTAAGTTATAGTAGTATTCTCCGCTTACTAAGTAATAATTTAATATAAAATCGTAGAGAGTATATAACGTGGGATCTTAAAGAGCTAAGCCGTATTCTTAACGATAATAGTCTTATTACCGCTTAATTTCTCCGTAGTATTCTTCGCATTTACCTATTATAGTTTCTTCTCTTACTTCTTAATATAGTAGAAATAATAGACTAAGTTATAGTAGTATTCTTCGCTTACTAAGTAATAATTTAATATAGAATCGTAAAGAGTATATAACGTGGGATCTTAAAGAGCTAAGCCTATTCTTAATACTAAGAATCTTATTATCACTTAGTTTCTTCGTAGTATTCTTCGTATTCGTCTACTATAGTAACTTCTCTTATACTAGCTAAGTAAATTAATATAAGATCGTAGAGAGTAGATCTATTATATTACTACTGCTAATAACTATCTCCGTAATATTCTCCGTAGTATTCTTTATATTCGTCTATTATAGATTCTTCTCTTATTTAATTAAGTATAAGAGTATCGAGGGTAAATATATTTATATTAATAGAATTAATAGAATTAATAGAATTAATAGAATTAATAGAATAGTAAAAGAAGAATAATTATATAAATAGGTGAAAGGATTATTATTCGATTCTAGACGCGTTTAATATAATTATAATATTTAAATATTAGTTTAACTCATCTATCGCTAACTTAAAAGAAGTATATAGAGGAGAATATATTCGTTCGAGCTCTTTTTAAGAGTCTTTTAACGCGTTTATAAGTAGTAGTAGATAGCTATTAAGCTCGCTTACGGCCTCGATTATTAGTAATAGCGAATTCGTTAAGAGATAGTCTAAGGGCGTTAGTAAGAGGCTTTAATTAGGCGAGAAATATCGAAGATAATTATATTTATATTAATAGAATTAATAGAATTAGTAGAATTAATAGAATTAATAGAATAATAAAAGAATAATAAATAGATGAAAGGATTATTATTCGATTTCGGACGCGTCTAGTATAACTACTATAACTATTATATTTAAATATTTATTTAATTTACTAATAGTAGATTAAACTTCATTATTTTTATAGCGTTAGAAAGCGTAAAGCGAGCTCTATAATTTACGAAATTATAAAGTAATAGTATTCGTAGAGAGCTAATTATTTTAGAGTGTAAAACTTCTATATATAAATTTTTAATAAGAGAGCTTAAGAGAATTAGCGGGCTAACTTAGTTAGTCTAGCTAAAAGGCGTAATAACCTCGAATTAATAATTAACTATATATATAAATTCAAGATTTTCAAGCTTAGCCCTATCTTATTCTTTTATATATACTAATAAAAGATACTTATAATTATAATAATATTATTTAAAAAATTATTTAATTAAAGATATTTAAATAGAGAAAGTTATTATTTAAAATAATTAAGAATAATCTTAAATTAAAATTAGATAATTATTATCTTTATAATAACTTATTATATATTAATAATAAATTATATATATTAGATATTCTTAAATTATAAATTAAGATTATTAGAGATATTTATATTTTTTTACTCGAAGATTATATTAATAAATTATTAATTTATAATAAATTAAGTAAATACTATTATTAACTAAGAATAATAAATTTTATTATTTATTATATTAAGAGTTACTATATTTATAAGAAATCTAAAACTTATAAAGAGAGTAAATAAGATCTTTTTAAATCTCTTTCTATTTTTAAATAGTATTAATAAAATATTTTTATTAACTTTATTATATTATTATCTATTTATCTTAGATATAAACTCTTTTATTAATATATTATAATAATTATAAATAGACTTAATAAGAAGAAGAAATTTATTCTTTTAGATTTCTTAAAAGTAAAGATAGTAATTTAAGTCTTTATTAAATTTATATAGCTATAAAAAATATCTATTTATTATTATTTTAAATTAAGATATTTAATTTATAATATATTTCTAAAGAAGATTATATAAAAGAATTAAAATTAAATTTAAACTTTTTATTATATTTTATTTTA